CATGATTTAAAGCTCAAGAGAAAATGGATGATGCAGCAAATGACCAAATCATACGACCCAAAAATGGTTAAAATTGGTTAACATTTTGGAATAGCCAAGTAGAAGTCCTAATTTAAATCCTATAGAAACATAGTAGAATGACCTAAAGCAGGTACTTCATATAAGGAAGTCCCCTAATATTCCTGAGTTGAAGCTGTTCTGTAAGGAAAAAGGCTAAAATTCCTCCAAGCCAACATGCAGGGTGATAACAGTTATTGGAAACATTTAATGCAGTCATTGCTGTGCAAACAGGGCAAACCAGTTTTTGCAAAGCAAAGTTTCATATGCTTTTGCTACACACAGTTATATTCTGTAGCTTTGAATAATTTTCTTCAATAAATAAGTAAAATGTTTTTGATTATTTCTTTAAGTGGGTTGTTTTTATCTAGTTTTAGGATTTATGTGGAGAACGGATCAATAGAAAATGAAAATTCAGAGTTCTTAAGCTTTTAAGTATTATTGCATTGTGTTAAGAGTACAGTATACAGCAAATGGTACCAACACACTACATATCTAATATCAATGGTGTTAGATAAAGATGTTTCCCGGCCCCAGTACTTTTTAACCTCTACATCAATGATGTGCTTTCTGCTCTCAGGATGTTCACAGTTACATAATAAATTATCAACATTATTCTAAAGGCAGGTTATATGATCCCTATGGACAATCTCAATCTTGGACTAATGAGACAACTCCAAAAGTTAATGCTTACTACATTATTAATCTTTTGAAATTAAATAAAGTTATCAGGGAATTGTGTAGCTGGTGTCCAAATGGAATCAGAAACGCTGACAAGTACTTGTGGTTTATATAAATAAATATATTTATAGTAAATAAGAGAGGCAAACAGGAGCATCATTAAGTAAATCAATACAGCAGGAACATCAGTAAATCACAGATAGCACATCTAGCACACAGAGGGAAAAAGTGGGAAACAAGGAAACTCCTCCTTTACACTCACAGCAACCAATCACAGCTTAGATTGCTTCATGCAGTGGCCAGCTCTCTTCAACCAGTTTAGCTATAACTGTGTGTTCTTATTCATTGTCCAACTCTTTACTGCGCCAGCTATTAACATTTAAATATCTTAACAGGTTGTTTCACAAGATCCTTGTGTTTCTGTATAGCCAATGGCTTTGTCATGTGGTAAGCCAAACTGTCTTTCTAAAGACAATGGTTAAATGCAGCATTGCAGGCTACTTCAGCTGACTGCAGTTCTGCAGTTNGGGTTTCTCCTAAAATCTACCACCATTTCTATGGTTTTGAGTGTGTTTAGTTCAAGATTGTTCTAGTTGCACCACAAGGCTAGTTGTTCAACCTCCTGTCTGTATGCAGATTTGTCGTTGTCTCAAATGAAACCAATCACTGTTACATCATCTGCAAACTTCAGTATTTTAACAGAGGGATCTTTTGAGATGCAGTAAATGGTGTATAGAGAGAAGCGGAGAGAGAACACAGCCATGGAGGGGCGACTCCTGTGCTAATTGCACATGTATCTGATGTGATTTTGCCTAGCTTCACCTGTTACTTCCTATCTGTTAGGAAGCTTATGATCCATTTACAAGTATGAGCAGGTACAGCTAGCTGATTTAGTTTAGTTAAAAGAATATCTGGAATAATGGTGATTCCTTCCAGATAATGCTGAGCTGAAGTCTACAAAGAGGACCCTTGCATAGGTCTTTGGAGATTCAAGATGTTGTAGAATGTAGTGCAGAATCATATTACCGAGCAAATAGATCGAAAGATGAGCATCATCTGTCGATCTATTTGCTTGGTAGCAAATTGCAAGCGGTCTAACAGCAGGTCCGTGATGGTCCTCAGGTGGCCAAGCACTAGTCTTTCAAAGGTCTTCAGAACTACAGATGTTAGAGCAACCAGTCTGTAGTCGTTCAGTTCCTTGATAGAGGGTTTCTTCAGCACTGGGGTGATAATAGAGCGCTTGAAGCAAGAAGGAACATAGCACATCTCTATTGATTTATTAAAGATGCGAATGAAGATGGGGGCCAGTTAGTAAGCACAAATTTTTAAGTAAGGAGTTATCTTGTCTGGACCTGGTGCTTTTCCTGGCTTTTGTCTGTGAAATAGGCTTTGCACTTCATTCTCTGTAATCACCAGATGTGGTGGGCCCAATTGGATTTGGTAGGTTGTAGGAAGCTTAGCTGTTGTAGTTGGTGTGTCTGAGATGGGGATTGTGGAGATTGGTGGCAGTAGTTTCTGGCCTGATTGTACAGCATTCTATCTGAATGTTTCTGAAGAGAGGAACTTTAGATAAATTATTTTAGAAATTATCTTCTATTCCCTGAACTTTTTCTACATTTTCCTCATTGTAATTGCAATCTGGTAGGGAGTAATTTAGTCCCTAATCCTGTTCTAGTTTACAGTCTTTGTTTTATAAAATCCTAACCATTCCTTCTTTTCTCTCCATGCTTACCCACTTCTTGATTTTTTTATTGTTGTGTATATATGATAATATTTTTGGATAAAAGGGCTTGTATTTCTTGATATCTAAGATGAATAGGAACAATATTTCAAGTAAGTAGTTATTTTATCAAACATAATAGCTCTGCTTGTTAATTATTAAGAGGCACATCCCATAAACTACATTACAAGTCAATTATTGAGAAGATATTGTCTGATTTCCTTATAAAGTGATTAAACTGGATGTTTTAAGAAAGGATAGATGCAGCTTCCGGTTTGAGGGGGCTTGCTGGTGGGAGCTGGTCATTACAGCTCCAGAATCCTGGTCACGTTTATCTGTC